TTGTTTAAAATAGTTCGTGATATTTCCTTTCGAGCCCTTAGTAGCTTTTCCAGATACCCCTCGTGTAGGTAGTCTCGTGGCATGGGCTTTTTTTTCCTGGGTATTCTCAGCTCCGTTGCTTGCATCAGCTGGAGCTTTCCTCTCGCTTGCTCGTGTTGATCGTTTGTTAGTAGATGCTGCCGATGCTTGTTGCTTCTCGGCAAGGTTTTTCTCTTTGGTAGCCTGTCTCTTTGCCTGCTCCTGTTGCTTCTTTTGTTGCTCCTTCATCTTATCAGCCATAATGGCTACAAATACCTATAGATTAGTATTAGCACCGTATCCCCTATCAAGTCCTAGATGTGACTGAAGTACCGAGCTGGTCTGAAGCAGCTTTGTCAAAGCTTTCGCTTTCATGCCCAAGCCCTCCATATCGTCTTCTTCCTCCTCTTCATTTTTCTTGTTTATATTTTCCTCCATGATATTTTCCTTGTTTTCTTCCTGCTTGAACATAGCCATAGCTCCGATAAGCTATAAACTGAACGAATGGGTGGCAACGGGGCGTAGAACGGTAACTTCGATTTGGCTACAGTATAGGCTATAGTTATATACGTCCCTGCGCCAGATATAATAATTAGTAACTAAATGCTTATCCATAACACACTTGTGCTTGGACACATACCTTTCAGAACTCTTCACAGAAATAAAGAGGTGGCTAGAGGTTTAGGAGAAAGGTAAAAGTGGGAAATTCTAAGGATTGCAGTAGAATAATGTCATCAACATTTGCCAACCATCTATTTATCTAAAGAGCATAGGTATTCCCTTTCATCCTTGCTGTTGCTGCCTTGCCTCTCCTAGTCAACGCGTAAAAAACCAATTTAAGAAAAGAACGCGCGCGTTGTGATTACATCAGCGCCAATAAATTAGAGCCTCATATACATCACGTGATACGAGGCTCTTACCATACCGGAATCTGAGCGATTTGTAATACCTTCGGAATACCAATTTTCCGAGATTCAACGCTAAAATTACCTTTGTTAGGTAACCACAACGTAGTGGATGGTAACTGTTATGATAAGGATTTGAATCACCACACGTGATTCCATTAGTCATCACTAGTACGCGATACTATAACCGACTATCGATATCAACGTGGAGACGATCACCTTATGCTCAACTATTTACAATAGTAGAGAGCAGAGATTTCACGGAGATGAGATTCGGTAATATATGGAAAACGTAGCTATAAGAAGAGACATATCCCATGTGTCTAGCAGCTAGATAGATTGATATATATACGTCTGCACAACGCAATCTCCATTGTAAATTGAGATAGTTCGATATAACGATTCGCCAAGCCCAGCTTACTCAGCAATTTCCGCTACGATCCAACAAGAGTTCCTTAAAGTAACCACAACGTATTAAGAAAAATACGTAACAAGGCATATACAACGTTGAAAGAAATCCTACCTTTTCTTGAATTCC